CAAAAATATAAAAAGACAGACATATTTACAAAATATTAACTAGATATAATCTTAACAAAATTATGTATGACCTACAGGAAGAAAATGATAAAATTCTATTAAAAGTTAGAAATAAAAATAGCAAATACAGAGATGAACTATGTATTTTAAAATAGTGAATTCTTTGAAGATGAAATTTTTTTCTGTAATTTATTAGTGACCTTAATGTAATTCCAATGGAGCTTTGCAAATTTAATAGAATTATTTAGATTTCATCTCAATGAACTAATAGGTAAGAATAGCATGGTCAGGAGCAGAGGCGCACACTTGTAATCCCAACACTCAGGAGACTGAGGCAGGAGGATCTTTGCAAATTTGAGGCTAGCCTGAACTACAAAGTGAGTTCAAGGGCAGCCTAAACTTCAGAGTGAGACCCTGTCTCACAAAAAAGAACAACAAATAATTTTTAAATATATTAAAACATTATATTACAACAGTACTATTGGTACAAGAATAAATAGATTAATTGAGCCAAATAGATAAATTAGAAACAATAATATATATACACCCTTTAATATATGATAACATACGCTGACAAAAACAATGAAGAATAAAATTTCCATTTAATAATTTATATTGAGACAACTGCTTACTTATCTGAAAACAAAAGCAAGTTAACTCCAAAATAAAATTCCAAAGATTATAAAAAAGTCCAATGTAACTAACAAAACTATAAACTTATGACAAAAACTGAAGTGAAATTTCATGACACCTCCAAAGGAGAAAAACTTTCTAATCTGAGAAGCAATGGAATAAATAATACATAGCAAAATGAGTGATTGATTGGCTACTAAACTTTTTAAATTGTTTGTGTGCCAAAAAACAGTAATGGCAAACACCAAAGTGAGAAAGCGTATGTGAAACGGATAAACAAATGTGTGTGTGTGTGTGTGTGTGTGTGTGTGTGTGTAGTTGAGAAACACAGTAAGAACCAAGTGATTAAATGAAAAAAGTACACAAACAACCAATCCATAAATGAAGAAATGTAGCAGTTTAAAAACTACTTAAAGACAATTGTCAATCAGAGAAACCTCAAAAGTAAAAAACAGGTAGGTATGAATATAAAATAAAGAATAAGACATCAAATTTCAAGGACTTTTTAACAAAAATGTCCATTTCTAGGGAGGATGAAATGAAATAAACCTTCTTATTCATTACTTATAAACCATGTAAGATTTGATAACCATGTATATGTAAAGAATATTAAATTGTTCAGGGTTTCTGACCTAGAAATTCTAGATTTAGCAGTCATATAAGGATATTATCACAATACAAAGAAAATCTTATTGATAGAAATATTAATCATGGTAAAATGTATAGTTTTTAAAAATGAGGTCAGATATAGTGACACAAACCTGTAATCCCAGCATTTGGAAGGCTGAGGCAGGAGTGTCACAAGTTTAAGGTCAGGCTGGGCTACAGAGAGAATCTCAGGGCAGCCTGAACTTCACAGCAAGATCCTGTCTCCAAGAAAAAAAAAATTATGATTCAAATGTTAAAAACAAGGTAACTGGTTAAGAAAAATGTGGTATATTCACTAGCTACATGGACTATCATGTATACATTAAAAAGTGAGGTCTTAAAATCATTGTAAGAACATTATATATCAGTGAGTTTTTTCATTATAAGTGTGACATGTGGTAGAATGCAATGTCATAAAAACATATATATGGTCAAAAAGCAATTCATTTTACTAAAATATTGAATAAAATTTATATAATTTTAATAATAGTTATCATTATAAAACAGTTTATAACTTTCCCACTGTTCTCTGGTCTATGTTTTTCAAATTTTTTGTCATAAATATGTATAATGAACTATGTTAATAGACATACAAAAATGTAGATCATGTTAGGGAAAATAATTAAAAGGAAAATATTACTTTAAATAAAAGTGAGCAATAGTATAAATAGGAAATCTCTCTTTTGCTTTATGAGATTCTGTACTTTAAAACTAAAAGGTGATATGAGCCAGCCAAGACTGGGAATTCAGAACTGAGAAATAGACAAGCATAGTTCAAAAGTGAAGTTTAAATTGTAGGTTGAAATGTATATGGAATGTGTTATCTCCACAATAAAACTACAGAAACTAAATCTCAACCAAACCTTCTTGATTAATGGGAATAAACAAAAGATAGAAAGAAAACACCTTCTGAATAAACTGCACTCAATGCATGTTAGCTAGCTGTACCTTATTATTCATGCCTGTATGGCAACATGTATGCTGCTATTTCTACTGTATGTCATAAGCATAAGTGTTTTGGTTTAAAATGAGCACACTGTCATTCTCAAATAAAATTTCACTTTGTAATTACAGCATAGTACCAAACAGAGGGAATAAAATGTTTATCCACAGGGACACTCAAGTCTAAAAGACTGAGAAACTCATCTCTCCCACAGTCTGGCTCTTACCCTAAAGTTCCATAAGACATTGCAGCCTTGGTATATAATTCAAAAGGCACAATAAGGAAACTCTCAACTTACCTACTCTTTTCTGCTACTTTTTGAGGAGATTTTCAAAGGGAACTAAGAGTCATAAAAACTGCATTTATTCAAGAATCACATTGGGTAGCAATAAATGTTTGAGAATTTCCAACTTGCCTAAACTATTTTTATGTGTAGTTCTGGCTTATTTGGCCAAGAAGCTAAAGGTTTTCTGAGTTCCGTATTTCACTTACAGATATCTTTTGCAAAAGGCACTACATGAATTATTATTTTTATTTCATAAATATTGATACAGAAGCCTAGAGAATTTGAGTGGCTTCCCAAAATATCACACTGGTTTCCTAATGCCAGCCCAACACTCTTTGCAGTTAAAAAACAAACAAAACAAAACAAAACAAAAAGAACACACTTTGCCTTAGCAGCTTAATCATTTAATTCAAAAATATTGGCTCAGGGCATATTGTGTACCTAACTATGTTCCTGAGACCAGAGACAATGGCTCTGCCCCCGTGGAGACTAAAGGCTCACAGGAAAGCCTCACAGTGTTTGAGTGTGCAAACAAATATCAGAGCACTTAGCTTTTGAACAAAAGTGGAGTGTGATGGAAACAAAGAGAGGGTGTTTATTCTGTGTAGGGTGATCAAGGAGGTCCTCTGGGAGGGAAGAGCCACTGGAAAAAACATGTGAATCAAATGTATGTTTGGTAGAGGAAATAAATGCAAAAACCCTAAATGAGGAGCATTCTTAGTGAGCTTGCAAAATGTTGAGGTGATCAGTGAAGCTTAGCATTTGGTGTGCCTTACTGGAACATGTATTGTCTTCTGCCATCTCTCCTGCTCACGCTTATTTATTTATTTATTTATTTATTTATTTTTTACCAAGGATTAAACTCAGGACTTTGTGCTCCATGTTTCTTTTGAACCTCAAATTTTACCTCTAGATTAAGGAGTACATTCCTCCTCAGGTCCCCCATAAAGTAGCCTATTTTAACCACCAGTCATTCCTTCATCTTCTATTGATAAAAACACCTAAGAATCCTAGTTGGCTTTCATTGTCCTTCCTAGAGTTCAACTCAGAAAAAACAATCACATAAGCACAACCTAAGACGAGGGCCCAAGAGATCAATAGCATCTACGTAGCTACCTTGTATCCTTCAAGATACATTTATTTAGCATGACCTAAAAATTTCCACAAAGTTTGACCATTTTTCAAAATCATTATGCAATGAAAATCCTCTAACATCATCCTCATTATAGTACAATCTTTCTTTATTGGCCCAGTAAGTATTTGAAAATCTCACAATGTATCATCAAGTACTGAACTCACTACCAAGCATTTTCCTTTGTTTTGTTTCCATCTAGAAGCTACTGTGCAGGACTAGTTATTTTCATGTGTGTTTTTTTCCTGCTGACTACAATGTTTGAGCCACGTCTTTCCCTTAGAAATGTCCCCCAGAGTGCTAAAAGAAATCAACTTATAACACTATAATAATAATAATAATAATAATAATAATAACAATAGTTTACAATCACCTAACATTTACTATATCTCAAATCCACTATTCAATTTTACATGTACTGTGTCATTTACTCTTCACAATTCTGTAACATAGATCATAATATGATACTCATTTAATAAATGAGAAAAGTGAAGGGCTAAGACATCAATTTGTTGAGGTTACAGACCCCCACATCTGACTCACATCTCACTAGGTCTAAAATCTGCCTGCCTCGGAAGCCCTGCAGCAAACCTGCAGGTTCATCTGATTAAAAAGGAGCAATGGGCTGAGACATGCCTAGACAATGAGCAAAGCTGAATCACAATAAGGGTGTTTTCCCCCTCTGCTTTTTACAACTGGGGACAATCCTAGTTTTTATTGAAAAGGGTCCTATTTCTGAAACTTCAAGTCTCCCACACAACTTCTTAAAAGGAAACCAAATAAGCAGATCCAGAGAGATAGTTTTAACTCACACACAGCCTCCCTCTCAGCATTCTGACCTAATTGGTATTGCATTCTTAAAGTAGCGGACCCTGTTCTTAGTCTGCCTGTCTCTTCTCACTGAATTTGATGATAATTTGGGATGATATTTCCAAACCCATTTATAGAGAGTAAAGAGAAATCTTTCCTTCTTTGGGAATTAACCGTCCCAAGTCTGAACAGTCAGCCATTCCAGGGCTCCACCTTCTTGTCGCTACTAAACAGAAGTCTGGAACCCAGAGGTCACACAGATCAGTTCTAGGCCATGTTTTCCCAACCCAAAGGACATTCAGTGCAGCTGCCACAAAAGACCTCAGTGAGGCCCTTCTGGAGAGCAGATAAAACCCTATTTAGAGACCTAGGCCAAAATATGTCGCACCACAGCCTTGGGCTGAACTTGAGGAAGCTCTGAGGCCACAGAGCAAGTCATGTAGTGAGCTCCAGAAAGCTCAGCTTTGACCCTCTGCGACTACTACAACAACCCTTGACAGGCTCAAGCCTGACATGTAGCCAGCCAGCTACCACCACCACGTACTCACAGCACACACAGGCAGTACACGCCCGGAACACTTTCGCTGTCCCTCAGCAAATAGCTGCCGTCCAACCCCGTGGCGAGCAGGAGCTTCTCTCCGGTCTCTCTGCTGATTTTGCCATGATACACAGCCACTGTATCCATGGCCTGGTGGATTCCAGCGACTGAGGTGACAGATTAAAAAAGGGAGATGCCACCAACGTGGCTGCCTCTGCCAGTAACAAGTCAACCACTTGACTCCAGTTCAGCCAGATGCGTAAAATGAGACAAGCACCGGAACAACAGGATGTTGTCTACCTGCTTTAAAACCTCCCTCTCAAACTTCAGTTAAAAGGAGCTCAGCAATTTAACACCTGGATTCTGTTGAACTTGTGACAGAACTTGATCCAACTCTCTGAAACAGGATTATTACAGACTGGAGGAATACTGGAAGAAAGATCCTTCCAGCTACAGGTCATACTGCCAATGTAGACCATGCATACAGACCAGAGTGCTTGGTAATGTTTCAGTCCTTGCATTTTCCTCCAGAGCCACCAAAGGTGACTTAGCTTAATTAGTTTCCAAAGGGGTTGACAACAGAGGCACGTCATCATGTAGAGAAGAAACAAACCGGCAAAGTGAAAAGACCAAAAGTTCCAAGATCAAAACACTCAAAGTATCAGTAAAAATCACTAATGAATACGGCCATGAGACTTCTGTAGAATCAGAAGTAACAGGAAAACAACGAATTTGGGGCAAGTTTTTCCTCTCCTTCTTTCTCCTTCTACTTCATGTGGTCATCTTGAACACATCTTGAACAGTGTCTGTGTATGTGTGTGTGTGTGTGTGTGTGTGTGTGTGTGTGCATACATGCATGCATGCGTGTGTGTGTGCGTGCGTGTGTGTGTGTGTGTGTGTGTGTGTGTGTGTAACCTAGGGAATCTCACATGCTAAGCAAATGCTCTACTACAGAGCTATAGATCAGTACTGCTTGAACAATCTTGACCCTGAGCAAATATTGTTTTTTTCTAATACTTTCTTGAAGATCTCAAAGTACTGGTCAAGGTATAAAAATAACAATAAATGTTCAAAGTTGTTCCACTTCCTGGGTGGTCCTTAGATGAAAGAATAAATTATTTATCTGGTGTGTTATCTTTATGTAGATTTGTATGTCATTGGATATATAAGGCTCAGCTTTCAGCATTTTGATGATAAAATCTGTTTCAAAATATTTTTCAAGTGTTGGTAAGTACATTTTAATTGTTCTATGTTGTTTCTAGAAGTATTTCTTGTACAGGTAATGCTAAACTTTCATTAATTTCAAAAGAACTTTTTCAACCTGCATTTCTTTTTCTGAAACAAAGTGTTGTGTATCTCTTAAAAATGCTAAATAATACTTCTCCCAAATCTTCTCCATTTTCACTAAAATAGAGTTTTAATGCCAGAAGATTAATGATCTCATGTGCCTTTAGATGATGGAAAATATTTTATAAATTAGAGTTTAAATACCTAGGTCTATATTGTCTATTATATTTCTTCCACAATTTCAGCAACTAGTTTCCTGAGACCATCACAAGGCTGGTATCTCAATAGGAGAATGATATTAAATCCTCTGTGGGTCAGATGGGCATAGTTGCTTTGAAGCAAAAGCAAATATTTTCTCTCTACCTACTGGGATTAAGAATAATCATGTATGATTTTCAAGGTAACCAGTAATAATTCTCCTACATCAAAGTGCACCCAGCCTTAGTAGTCAAAGGGTAAATAAAAACTTCCTACAGCTATTTTCAACACTAAGAATAATTTTCAAAAAATAAAAAATAAAAGAACATTCAAGGGGACATTTGAGGATGGCTCTGGGGATTGGGCCACGATAGTCTCATAATCTTTCTATTTCACATGTGTTTAACCAACTCCCTCTCACCATTTTTCATACTTTGGGTCAAAGAAGAAATTCATCTGGAATATGAACATAAACTCCAATATTAAGGACTTGAGATGCTAGGCCACTCTGAATGTTATATTTCAAGCAAGTAGTGATTAGCCCAGTGAAGTTAATCACAATATTGACATTTTAAGTATCCACTAAGAAATCAGGGAAAAGGATCCTATTGTATCAGTCTACACAGATAACATCCTACTCATCGGTTGAATTGTGACAGCTTCCAATGTTTCATAGATTAAATAAAAACTAATCTTTTTGTCTTGAACAACTCTGAACAAATGATCCACAAACTTAGAACATAGCATCTTGGGTCTGACAGCATCAGTGTATTGTGCATTTTTTCTTTCTCTGTTTTGTTCTATGTTCCAAAAATAGCACATCCGTCAAAGCATGCAGATACAGTGGGGTTCAGCAAACTAAAAATGTATAACAAAGAAGAGATAAATTATAAGGTAATAATACAATGCTCACATCCAATACCTCATTGTCATTTCACAAGTAAGCTGACAGCTGAACCAGCCCACTAGTGAAGGACTGATGAAAAATACTGACATCTTCACTCTAGTTTTGCACCAGTACTAAATCTGACTTCAGCAAATTCAAAACTTCATGCTGAGCTTAAAGTATAGAAAAAGGAATTTAAATGGCTCTCTTTATTCTATCTCTTGATACCAATCAGAGAAGAGGATAAGAGATGTATCAATGAAGAAAGAGAAAGAGATTGAAAGTAGGCACTAAGAATAAGTATAAACTACTTAGGAGAAGAATAATCTAATGAATTTATTATTCTCTGTTGCTCCCACTTGAATTTAAGGTCCACAATGGTAAGACTTTGTGTTAGCTTTGCATTGCTGTGATAATGCATGCAAAAGCAATTTGAAAGAAGAAAGTGTTCTGGCTGCCAATTTCAGAGACTTCAGTCCATGATCATTTGGCTTCATCACTTTGGACCTGAGATAAAGCCAAAATTCAAAGTACAGAGTATGAGGTTGAGCATGACTGCTCAGCTCTGAGGATCCAGAAAGCAGAGAGTGAGAGACAGCGTGAAAAAGGGTGTCCAGGGGCAAATATCCCCTTCAAAGACCTGCCTCTTCCAATTAGACCCTACCTCTTAAAGTTTCTACTGCCTCCAAACACCACTAGCTAGACATGAAACCTCCAACATATGAACCTTTGGGGTAAATTCCAGGTCCAAACTATAGCATTCTATCTTTGAACCCCAAAAGTTCATGTTTATATCACAATGCAAGTTGCCCCCAGTTCATCTCCAAGGAGTCTCCATAATCTTTATAGTTCCAGGATTGCTCAAAAATCTGAGGCCAATGTTTCTTGTGAAACTCAAAGCATACTCTTTAGTTGTGAGCCTCTACAAAAATGAAACAAGTGACGCCTCTAGCACACAATGATGAGACAGGATAAATGTTCTCATCTGAACTGCAAAAATAGAAAACTCAAGAGAAGGAATTGTACCAAAGCAAGACTGAAACCAAGTAAGGCAAACATTAACTCTTATAGCTCTATGCCTGGCATTCAGACATGTAGTGCCAAATTATGAGCTATAGAAGGCTTGGGCTTTAGCTAGACTTATGTTGAAAATCATGGGAAAGAAGAAGAGCAGAGTAGAAAGATTTGAAATTTTTGTAGTGTGGATAGATAAAAAGCTGCGTAAAGTTGGGGCCAAGGAAGTTGTAGTTGCTGAAGAAATTAGCACCACTGAGAACAGGCCAAGTGTTTTGTGCCTGGACAATAGGATAGATGGGATAGTCCACATGGCCTTTCTCTCTTGATCTAGATCTGCTCGCTGCCTAGTTTTCCTTGGCAAATGTTCCACATTTCTGGCATCTCTAATTTCCTGGAGTCTCCACTGCAGCTTCACCTTCACTTTCACTTTCATCTCTGCACTGCCCTCTCAGTCTGCCCACAGGGACTCTGACCCTGTCACACACTATCTGACCTCCCCATCCTTTGAAACCTCAGGAGAAGGGTCTATGTCCCTATGACTTTTGCATTCTGTATGCATGCAAAATCAGTATTGCTGAGGTATGCCACCAGCTTAAGCAGTAGATAGGCCCCTTTGGACCATGAATTCAGTGGTCTGTGAGTGCCTGAATAACAGAGGATGTTGTGATTCATCCTGGGGAACCAACTTCTTATGTGAACCTGTGTAAGCAGGACACCCCAACACTCTGAAACAGCCTTTCAATTGGCACTACACTTGTACATCCTGGAACCACTGTAGGTGGGGTCTTACTAATTCCTAAAATGCCCAAAAAGCACCTTTCCTTATATCCAAGTACAAAATACTTGGCTTCAACTTAGTGATACTAATCTTTTCAGCAACCACACTTTCCTTGGCATCAACTTTACAGTTTTTATGTTTGTCCAGATTGCATGTTTTTAAAATCTTTCTGCTGTGCTCTTTGCTCATCCTTCTCCTATAAATCTAGCAAAAAAAACAGTAAAACAATGCCACTTCTTGAATACTGTACTCCTTTGCAATTTTCTTCACCTGATAAACTAGTAAATTTCTTTTAAATTCAGGCTCTCAAGTGCCCAGCTAGCTCAGTTGGTAGAGCATGAGACTTTTAAATTCAGCCTCTTATAAAATCTCAGGTGGGACAAAATGTAGATAAATTCTTTGCCAGATTGTAGCATCCATGACCTCTAATTAAATTTCCAGTAGAGTCCTCATTTCTTTCTGAAACCTGATGAACAGGTCTTTAATATGTACATTCCTATTAGCACTCAAGTCTTTGGAGCTCTCACCAGAACTATCCATCAAGTTTTGTTTAGAACATTCTAGTATTCTCAAGCTTGCATCATCAAAACTTTCCAAATTTCTTCCACAAACCAGTTGAGCCATATTGTCTGAACCATACTGTAAGATAGAGCCACAACAACCCCACTTCTCAGTATCAGTTTTTTTTAGCTTCCCATCACCGTGACAAAACATCTGAGAAAAATCAACCAAAATGTGGAAAGATTTATTTGCACACACCCTTTCAAAGACTTCAGTTGATGCTTCCTTGATTGAAACTCCATTGCTTTTGGCCTGAGACAAGACCAAACATCATGGGACAGAGCGCATAGGGAGAGGAGACGGAGACAGACAGACACACAGACACATAGATAAACATATAGACTAGGGACAAAATATCCCTTTCAAAGGCATGTCTCCAAAGACACACAATATTTTAACTAGGCTCAGCCTTCTAGATTTTCTGCCACCTCCAAATACAAAATTCACCAGCATCAAGTCTTCAAGAAAGAGCTTTCTGGGAGACATTCCAGTTCCATATTATAGCACAT